AAAAAAAAAAAAAAAATAAAATTATATAAGATTATGAATCACAAAAAGTAAAAATTAAATTAAAAAAAAATGTCTACTTATAATAGGGACGTGAATATATACATCCATTTTTTCAATGAAAACGGCTATATACAAAAATCATGTTGCTGTTTTCTTTTTTTTAGTACAGGGACCTTCCGGTTTCCGGATCCACAGGGGAATCGACTAATCCGAAATCGAGCCGGGTAGGACCACAAGGACGACAAAGCTCTCCCTCAAGAGTTTTAACACTGCTGCATTCTCATGGCTCGAACTCGAGACCACTGGTTAAGCTGGAAGAGACCCAAGCCATCTCATCCAAGCGCTCTTGGGTATGTTGCTGCTTTCTTTGATTTGTATTTTAGGCTTTTTTTAGCCCATGAGACGGAAACAAGATTGGACAACTACAAATATCTAGGACAGGTGTGTGGCTGGATATTTGTCTACACAATAAATTGACGTTAATTGGTCGTTGGTGGTCCGGGTAATTAATTTGGGGAATTTAATTTTCTTTTGCATAAACTTAATTACAATTCTACTTAACTTAATCAAATTATTTATATATGTACAATATAGCAACAGTCAAATCATAATAAGTTTAATAACTTATGATATAACAGATTCCCGTAACTGACATGATGCATGTCTTGAGAGAGAAACATTTTTATGTAGGCATTTTTTATCCAAGTCTTCATTTATGTCGGATTATACATGACATATACATTTTTATATACATACGAAAAATATAAGCAGTATATATATGAAAAATATACAGTATATATATATATATATATTTGCAACTACACAAACAATATATTATAAAAAGTATAAATATACTACACATATAAAGCATACATATACAGAAGATATAAAGAAGATACACATCGAATAGTTGTCGAGTTCGGCCACAACACTAGATCTAGGCGTCGGGTTGTTTATAAAAACAAAAAACTCCAAATACTACCAATCTACGCGCCCCGTCCCCCATCCGCGCGCCCGTCGTCTCCACTATCGATCGTCGAAAATCGTCGTACGGTCTCAGAGATTACCTCAGCAACGCATGAAATCCGGATCTGACACCAACTTCTGCAACAGAGAATTGTCTGACAGCGACGGGGAAAAGGTAGAGAACGACGACGGCTCGTCCACCATCAGCACGCTCGAGGGTAGGCGGGACGAATAACTAGGCCAAGCCGCGACCAAGGCCTAGTCGGGCAGGCACGGCGCCGGAAGGAGAAGGGTGGCGATGCGGTCTTGATCTTCTTTTGCTACAGTGAATTTGCGAGAGGAAGAGAGAGGACCGCTGATTTAATAAAATAATCGCACTACATCAATTAGTTTCTACAATTATGGGTTTCTCGTATTGCAACAAATAAAAGGTGGAATTTTCTTAAATGTGCTAAATAAATTAATTGGGTCGTAATTATACAATATAAATGATCTTATCTCGTGGCAGGAGTAATTTTTTCAATTATTTTTTAGCTTAAAGTGTTCATAATTGAGTCTTTAATGGGCCAAGCATGTGATTTGGCGTGTAGTCCTCAAAAGCAACTTATGTAGGCTCGAGAATGGTGGTGGGTGACTAGGTGAGCATGATATTGTTGAACACGCTCATGATTTTGAGTTTACTAGCTAAATGGATTGAGCTTAAATCGAGCCGAATTGGCTCGATTAATATGTTCACCAATGAAAAAAAAAAAAATGTACACGTGAACAATTTGTTAACAAATTTGAGTTTGTTAAATGAATTGAACCGAATCGAGCTTAAATCTACCTGAATCAACTTCTTTATTAAGCCACCACGTTAAAATTTAAATTATTTATGGCAAACAAGTGTACAATATAATCGCACAAACACAAACATGAAGTGTTCGACTCAGCTCACTCGAATAACACCCTGTGGACCACTTATTGAAAAGGCTCCAATAATATACCAAAAAAGCAGTATACTGTTATCTCCTCAACATTTGAAATCTTTTTATCCTCATTCAAGCCCACTAGCCACTGTCTAACCACAATTATTAATAGAGTTTAAACTTTAAAGTGGATGATTTTTTTACACCTTTACACAGGTCACTTGGCAGTAGTGTTGTAAACAAATCGAATCGAATTGATCTTGGACTGTTCGAGCTCGTGTTCGTTTATTCAAAAAGTGTTCGTATTCGTTCGTTTACTTTTCGAGCTAAAAATCGTGTTCGAGCTCGTTCGGTTAATTGTTAGTCAAAGTTCGAGTTCGTTCGTGTTCGAATAATTTAATACATAAACTTTCTAAATATGTTTGATTAACTCGAAATTTGTTTGCTTGAACTCGTTTGAACTCGAAAATAAAAATATTTTTATATTTTAGATTTTTTATTAAAAATATTATGTAAATAAATAAAAATATTTTTATATTCTTTACATTTTCTATTAAAAGTATTATACAAATATATAAAAAAATAAAATAAAATTATATTAAATTAATGTTTGCTAAGATTATCGAACTTTCGCGAACGAGCTCGTGTTCGTTCGATTATTACACGAACCTAATTTTATGCTTGAACTACACTTGATTGACAAACAAACGAGTTTTTGTCGAACACAAACGAGCTCGAACAAACTTTTGTTCGCGAACGGTCAGTTCGTTTACCGCTCTACTTAGTACTAACTACTTTTGGATGAAAGAGAAAGCTCTTACCATGTGCATAAGTAATGTGATATGAATTAATCAATTAAGACAGTCAAACACACATATATTGGATATTTTGATACATATGGGGCTATTAATATTTTTTTTTTTTTTTGGTACAATATTAATATTCATACTTGGATGTTTTTTTTTTTTGGTACAATTTTTTTTTTTTTGGTACAATTCATACTTGGATGTTGTTTTCAAGTAAGTCACATCTACACATATATTGGATATTTTGATACATATATATATATATATATTTATTTTGTAAATAAGCCCGTGTGACACATGCAGTCAAGAACTAGTGTTAAATTTGTTTTTCAACTATTGATTGCATTAAATTATTAAAAAAATAAATAGGTGGCGGCTGTGGATGGTGTAAGGGGAGGTCGGTGATTCAATCATCGGAGAATGTCGCCGGAATCAAGGGCGGACGTACGCAAGTGCCCTATAAAAATTTAACAAAATAAGTTTAGGATTTTTTCTGTTGAAATAATTAATTTAATTGTGCTTATTTAACTATTTAAAAGGTTTATTAATAATAATTCATTTTTTATGGGATTAGGAAACATAAAAGATTGGTCCTTGTTTGATGCGTGTAATCAGGAAAAGGAAAATAAAAATAAAATATAAAAAATACATAAATTAATTAGTCCGACTGGTAAATATGATCTTTTTATTTTAACCATTTTGGTGTATTAATTATGGAAAATGTTTTAAACAAAATTCTACAATGAGTATGTAAATTCGTTAAAAAAATGTTATATAATGTTTATAATATTTTCCATTTTTATGGATTTCTAATAGTGAATTACTAAGGGGGTGATTGTTTATGGTTTGAATAGTAAAAAAACTAGAATTTTTTAATTATGGTTAAGTTTAAGAAAAAGTTGTATGGTTAGTTGTTAGTGGATATATTAAAATAGTATTTAAAATAAAATAGTTAAAGTTGATTTGATGTAAAGTATGAGAAAAATGATTGGAAGTGATAGTTAGTTAAAATTAGTTAGAATTATGTGAGTGGATGAATAGTGAATTAAAGTTGATGTGATATGTTTGTACCAAAAAAAAAGTTGATGTGATATGTAATAATGATTTGTTGATGTTATTTAATTATATAATAATATTGGAGATAGTGGGGTTGAGTTAAAGTTGAGTTAAATTTGAATTTGAGTAAAAGAAATTACTGTAGGGATGATAAACAATCATGCCCTAAACATTGCCCTCCTTTTACTACCTATCGCACCCTCGGACTGTTATGCCCTTGCATTTTTTTCAAAAAAAACTAAAAAAAAAAAAGAGACAAAAAGTCGACCGGCCAGATTTTATCTCTTTTTTTTAACAAATCAAATTTTCATTTATTATAGAAATTATATTAGAGTTTAGAAATTATTATAGTATAAATTAGAATTTATTATTATTATTTTAGAATTTAGAATTTATTATGTTATATGTTAGAATTGCTTATCTCGTAAAATTATTTTCTACATTTATAAATTCTAATTTTATTAAAAACACACACACACACACACACACAAAAACATTGTATAATTTTATTAATTAATTAGTTGTATAATTTTATAATTAAAAATTAAATTATATGAAATTATCATAATGATTTTTTAATTAATGTAAAAAAATAATTTTACTAGATAATTAATTCTAATTTGTAATATAATAATTTCTATGTTCTAATACAAGGTTAATAAATTCTAATTTCTAAGATATCAATTCTAGTTTGTAACATAATAATATTTAAGTTCTAACATAATAATAATAAATCCCCTCCCCCCTATATATTAATACAGAACGCGCTGAGCCTACGTGGCTGCTTCTGGTGCTTCGGAATCCTATGTGGCAAAATTACATGCTTCGTTATAGGCTTGGGTAAATTTTAATTTAATTCCAAACCAAAAATAATTAGGTTCGGATTACCATAAATATGTTGATTATTTATGGTTATGTTACATGTATTAATTGTATTTTAATATCATTCCTTATTATAACTATTGAATTGTATATATATTTTAAAAGTTCATAACTTTTGTATTTTTTATCAGTTTTACATATATAATATA